TGGGAGGGTGGTGTGAACTCTGGCTACAAGAAGGAACCCGAGACTCACAGAGGTCTGGACCCTCTGCAGAATCGCATGGCAGAGCTGGGGAGAAGCCTGGAAAGGCAGGTGTGGTGGCAGGGAGGCGGGGGGCATGCTGGTGACAGGGCCTAAGAGTCAGACCTGGTGGCCCCTTCCCTCAGCACACGCCCCGAGTTCCTTCTGAGTCTGGGGGGGTGGGTGGTCTGAGCACCACCTCCTGGCTTCCCTCAACTCCTCAGGTCTGGATTGGATGGAGGATGGAAGTGGGTTCCTGGAGGTCTTTCTGAGGGTTCTTGGAGCTTGCCACGTGGAGGGTAAGAATTTGAGCATCTTTAGTTTGGGTTATAGGTTAAACATCTACATGGTCCAAAATTCAAAAGGTTAAAAAAAGAGATATGCTGAGAAGAAATCCGCCCCCCTCAATCCAGGCCCAGCACCTCAGTTTCCCGTCCTGGAGGCACCTCCAGTCACTGGCTCCTTGGGAATCCCGAGTTTGGGCTTTCTGACCGGACTGTCCCACCCTCTCTGTTTTCCTTCTAGAAGAGGCCCCCTCGGGAGGTGGTGCTGGAGGAACCCGGCCTTGGAGGTTAGGGCCTGAGCCAGGTAAACCAGTTGCCATGAGGATGGAGGCAGCCTCCTTCCTGGGCTTGATCTTTGCCCCTGCTTCAGGGCATCCCACTGAATCCCCTCAGGAGGGGTCAGCCCGTCAATTCTCCTTTCCAACCACTTAGAGCATCCCTGGAAGCTCCCGTCTCCTGCCTGGGGACCCAGGGGTCTGATACCCTGAGCCAGGGCTCCCACAGTCTCCTATTATTTGTCAGGATTATTTACTTATTTATTTCAGTTTTTATTTATTCTGGCTGCACTGGGTCCTCTTTGCTGGGAGCGGGCTTTCTCTGGCTGCGGAGAGCAGGGCCTCCTCTTCTTGCGGTGCTCGGGCTTCTCACTGCGGTGGCTTCTGTCGCACAGGCTCTAGGGTGTGCGGGCTTCAGTCGCTGTGGTGTGTGGGCTCAGCAGTTGTAGTTCCCGGGCTCTAGAGCACAGGCTCAATACTTGTGGCACACGGGCTTCGTTGCTCCACGGCACGCAGGATCTTCCTGGACCAGGGATCGAATCGGTGTCTCCTGCAACAGCAGGTGGACTCTTTACCACTGAGCCACCGGAGAAGCCCTCCTGGAATAATTTTTATACTCTCCCCATCCTCCTCCTCTTTGAGAGTTCAATTCTGGATAGATTTTGTGAACACTTGCTACATCCCAGGCCCAGTGGGGACACAAATTAATGCAGACACAGCCTCCTCTATCTAGGAACTCATGGTCTAATGGGGAAGGCCAAAAAGGAGAGAGAGCATTACCATTCAAGATGGCCCCAATCTGTTCTCTGAGAGTGGAGAAACAAAGAAATTCCAGCCTAAGAAGCCTGACAACATCAAGTGTTGGTGGGGGAGGCATATCTCAGCGGACATACTTCTAGCGACCCATGAGAAGGTGACTTATAAAGGCCACTTTGGAGTACAATTCATCAACTCCCAGGAGGTTGAACTGCACCTTCCCTGAGATCCAGCAAGTTCACCTTCTAAGTTCTCACTCCGGAGTAGAGTTTTTAAATCACTTTTGAACAGGTATCCTCAATAGGCCCACACTGAGATCCAGAACACACATGCCCCTTACGACACAGGACTTTCACCCTAATGGCGACCCCGAAGACATGTCATGCTGGTTATTTCCTAATCAATTCTGAGTTTTAAAAAGTGCTGATCTTTACCCTTTCAGCTGATTTCAGGACTCACTGCCCTAGAGACACTCAAGCGTTTGCATAAGCAGACAAGAATGTACACTGCAACACGGTTGTAGTAGCCAAAACCTAGACAGGACTTTCATGGTCACCGACCAACAGATAAACAAATTGTGATGTGGGCAGGAAGTGGGCTGTCACCCTGCTCCATGTGCCAGAGGATGCACGCGGGGTGACACTATTTATTCAACATGTAAAGCCCCGCAGAGAGATAGGCGAGATAGCGTACATTGTTTATGGATACATCTGTACCACGTGTAAAAACTGCAGGAAACAGTATTCCCAAATCAGGGTCCTGTCTGGAGGGGGACGGGAGAGCTGGGGCAGGGCCCGGCGTAGATGGGGAGGAGTCTGATGGGCTACAGTCCACAGGGTCGTATAGAGCTGGACACAGCTGAAGCAACTCAGCATGCACGCACCCATGGGAGGAACCTCAACTGAATTTTGTTTTTTCATTTTTTAACTGAATTGTTTAAAAAAATGTATGTTGGAACTAAATTTTGCAAAATATGAAGATTTGACAAAGTTGGAGGATAGGTACAGGCCACTAACTCTCTTTTTGATCTATTATTTTAAATATAATCTTATTTCTGAAAGTATTTCACAATAAGATTTAAAAGATTGCTGCTCTGGGCATCTGGGAAGGAGAGTTCCTTCTGACCATGGGAATAGAAAGCGGGGAGTGGTTGAGTGGGAGTGGATGTGGTCCTGGGGAAACGAGCTTGAATGCGCTCAGTCCTTCTTAACCAGGGGGTGCCATGCTGACCGCTTTATCCCACTGCCCCCACGTGTCGGTATGGTATGCTCCCCATTTAACTGATGGAAATGGAGGCTGGGAGAACGGCCTCTGGAAAAGCGGCAGAGCTGGGCCTCGATCCCAGGCCCATGAGAATCAGCCTATGCACTTCACAGCAGCATTCTGGAGCAGTAACCTTTGTGCCTGCCAAGGGGTGGGTGGGGACAGACAGGGTCCGGTGTGCTGAGCTAAGTCCTGTAGATTTGATCATGTGGGTGATGAGGAAACAAAAGGGGTGCGTGAACTCACTGCAGCTGTATCATCAGTTTCTTCATTTTATTATTTTTTAACCAACTGAACCTTTCTTTAAACAAACCCTACCTCAAAACCCAGATGCATAAAAGCGCTTCCAGTGGAGATGATTTCTAAGAGGCAGGTGACGGGGGTCTGGAGCCCAGGGGTGTCTCCTCTGGGAACACGGGATGGGTGCCGTGGTCCAGAGGAGCACCCCGAGGCAGTGTGTGTGTGGCAGGAGGCTGCCGGGGCATCCCTCCCAGGGCTTCTCAGCCAGATGACGGTTGCTCTCCCCACCTCTGAGTGCTTCCAGTGGTGGAGGGACAGAGGCTCAGAGCACTCCTGACCTGGGGGTGAAGGGGGAACCAGCGGCAGGTGCTTTGGGCAAGATAGGCCTGACCTCCACTTCCGGACTGTCAGACCTTGGCCGAGTTATGGAACCCTCCATTTGAATCTTAGCAGAGGAAGGACACGGACCCTTGGATGTGGCTGGGGCAAGGAACGCACATGTCCAGAGTAAAGCCGCTGGAGGGGGTGTTTTCAGCGCACTCCTCTTCGTCATCACTGACGGGGGCGGGGACTGGCAACTGGCCCGGCACATAGTGGGCCCTCGAGAAATGCTTGTGGAACAAATGCATATGTTTCCTCTCTGTCTGCAGGAAATGCAGTGGAGTCCTGACTTCTGGGAGCAAGTGAAGCTGTTTCAGGGGCTGGCCCTTCCCAGCTGGGCTCCGGGGACAGATGGCTGAGGCTCCAGGGTAGTGCGAGGCCCTGGAGAGACTACTGGGCAGGCGGTCAGGAGCTGGGGGTCAAGGGCTGGGCTTCTGGTTCCAGTTGCCATGTACGGGGCTGTGTGACCTAGAGGTCTGGTTCTCCTTCTCCAGGATTTGCTCATCTCTTTTTGGCAGAGCGGCCAGGGTGAGGTCTTTCCAAGTGCAATTTGCAACTCATTTGGTACATTTAACAGAGCAATTTAGTGGTTCACAATCAGTATTAAAAAACAAAACGAAACAAAACAAATAGAACAGAAAGTATCAGAGTGCAATCACAGGTCATAAGGGTAAGTATTGTTTTGTGAAACTATTGTTTTGCTTATAGATAGATGACGGTGCCGACAGGTCTGAGGTAAAATTGATTTGCTATTGTGGTGAAATAGACTGGTGAAAAGACTGGAAAACACTGAACTCAGCAATCCTGGAGGGGTCCTCCTCTCCCATATTCTAGGGGTCTTTGTGAAAAAGCCACAGGCCCAGGGGCTCCTTACTCTCTCCCCCTGGGTCAGCAGCTGTCTCTGGGCTCCTCGACGTTCGTCCCTCCGGGGCCTTACCCCCCTACCCCCAATCCGCAGTCCCCTCCTCCCTTTCTCTCAGGGTTAAGCCTTCCCCTTCCCAGGAAGTCAGTGTGGGGGTGTCGGAAGGGAGTAAACGTAATCCAATGGGTGGCGCTGGGGACTCTATCCCAGAAGCTAAAATAAAAGGACTAGGAAGCAAACACCCAGCGCCCCGGGACAGAACAGAAAGCAGGAGACCTGGGGACGTGGGTTTGAGGGGAGGACTTAATGAACAAAAGCTCAGCGGCGACACCGCAGTGGGTCACTCCCAGGGGGTGGCCCTGGTCTGGTCCTCGTTGGCGCTCGGGTGCGCAATTAACCAGCGAAGGTAGTTTTCACTCCTGTCCCCCTTCTTCCCCCCTTAAAAGAAAAGAAAGAAGCAGCCAGGAGTTTCGGAGCCAACTCCTGGAGAGGGAGCGGCTGAACTGATTCGGAAGTTGGATCTCTTTGTACACAGGAATGCGGCGAGGAAAAACAAAACCCACCCCATCGCTTCATTTCCTCCAAGCCCTAGCACTTTCTATTGTGCAATGAAAAGGCTTTTTACGTTAAGAAAAATGAATCCCGATGTGCGCTGCGAAGGAATGAGCGCGCCTCTCCGCGCAAGACGGCTCTCAGTTGGGAGCGGAGACGGCGAGGTGGCCGCAGGGCGGCCGCAGCCAGGGCGCTCCGGGGCACGTCCTCCGGGCGCGGCTCAAGGGAGCGCCCGCTGGGGCGCCCGGGCTCCCCCTTCCGTGGCCGCCCGCCCAGCCCTCAGCGACTCGAGGGCCCAGTAGACTTTTCGGGGAACCTCGAGGGCGGAGAGCTCCCGCTAGGGCCGCAGCCATGAGCGAGATGTCCAGCTTCCTCCACATCGGGGACATCGTCTCCCTGTACGCCGAGGGCTCCGTCAATGGCTTCATCAGCACTCTGGGGTGAGCGAGCCGAGTTCGAGGGGGGCGCGGGCGGGGAGGGGGCGCGATGGGCCCCGGTGCCGTTTGCATGCCTTCTGCTGCCTCCCGCCGTCAGGGGACCTGGTCGTCCCCCAGCTTCAAGGAATAGGGGAGCGATTTGCCTCCTTCTTTTAGAGAAAGGAAGTGAAATATTTGCCCAGGTAGCAGTCGGGCGCCCCGCCTGTGTTGGCAGGAGGCGCCCCCATCGCGAAGCCTCCACCCTCGCACGCTCGCCTTTCTTCCTCAGAGGCGGGGGCGGGGTGGGGGGCCTGAGACTTCCTCTGCAGGTGGGCCGTGTGCGGGGGGCAGGTGGGTGGCTGTGGCCTTAGTCGGGGACAGGCATCCGGGCCTGGACGTGGCCGACTCTGGAGCGGGGCGGAATCGTGATGGTGGTGATGGTGAGCGGGTGGACCAGGAGCCCGGGCCGTCTAGTTACAGACCTGCCGCACCTTCGGAGGGTCGCACCTTCTCCGAGCTCTCTCCTGCCCTGTTCCCTGTCTCTAGGAGTCTCTTCGCTGCCCTCTCCTTCCAGGCGTCCCAGGTCCCGCCAGGCGGCCCCTTCTTTCCGCCTCTCCCTGGCAATTTCCTGCTCAGCTCATCTGGCGCCCCTGGGTCCCTGGTCCCAGGATCTCTGGAGCACTTTGCAAACATTAATTAATTCTGGCCGCCACCCCACAGGGTCTGGATGAGCAAGGAATCCGGTCACGTCCCTGGAGAGGGCCAGGCCCAGAGCTGGCATAGGGCAGGGAAAGAATGAGAGGAAATGGGTTTATCTTCCGAAGGGCAGTTGAGTGAGTCGCTGGGGTGGAGGGGAGAGTGGCTCCTACACCTCTCCAGCCCCAGGGTGGGGCCTGTTACCTGTGTCCCGTTTTAGTCTGTGGACTTGTGTTAAATGGTCTCATCTACCACACCCAGCGGTTCTTTAGGATGAACCCACCCTCTTCTGCTGACCCGACTCATCTGGACGCCAACTGGCTACAAGGTGCCTTCTCCCTGGGGGTTTTGGAGGACAGCCTTGGCACCCTCAGCCCAGGGCGAGCTGACCCTGAACTCAGGAGGTGGGAGTCACCTGACTCCCTCGGTGTCTTGTGGGGAGTTTAGCTTTAGTCGTGTGGGAGATCTCGTGGGCTGGAGGGCTGAGTCAGCCAACGGAATTCCAGCATACCTCGCGCCTTATCTCAGCACCTCCAGGCCTTCCCAGCCCCCTCCCCATTCAGGTGCGGACTCCCCAGCCCGTCGATCTCTCCCCACTAGTCTGCCTTCTCTTGGTCGGTTTCCCAGAGGATGGGAATGGGTGAGCGCTCGGTGAGCTAACCTCCCCCAGAGAGCGACAACTCTCAGACTGCCCCTCTGGCCAGACTGCCCGGCTGGCACGGAGTCAACACCTCTGATAACGCCAAGGGAAGGAGCAGAGGGTGTGGGGGGCACATGGGGGCAGATGGTGGAAGCCTCCTTTCTGCTGTCTGGACAGGTCCGGGGCTTTGGGGAAATGACCATCTTCTCTGTTGCTCAGTGTTAGGGCTAAGCACCCTCTTGGGGGCCTTTTCAGCACCCGTGAGATCTAACAGAATCAAGGGAAACTTTTGGCGGGGCCGCACTGTCTGGCAGGTGGGATCTTAGTTTCCTGACCAGGGACCCAACCCACGCCCCCTGCAGTGGAAGCGGGGAGTCCCAGCCACTGGACCACCAGGGAAACCCAAGGGAAACGTCTCCTCCTGCCGTTCACACAGGCCTCATCCGCTTGCCAGGGATTCCCTCTATTGCTTCCTAACACAGCTCCCTCTCGCCCCAGCCCTTCCTGCCCCAGGAAGTGGCCTCTTGCTCGCCAATCTGATTCTGAGGCTGGGCCTGTGACTGCCAGAGCCCTCCTGCTCCGGGGCCGGTTCCCAGAGCTCCCAACTTGCCGCTGACGCCTGCATGCCCGCCCTCCCAGACGGCATTCTAGCACCGGCATGTGCTGGCCCCAAATTAATTGTCTTTCTTTTTTTTCACCTCCTCTTCACACCCCCGATGCACCACCTGGATTGAGATTCCTGGAACCTTGTCCTGTCTCTACCTTTGTTTCTGTGTTGCTCCCGCCCTTCAGCCAGTCTCCACCTGGGTAAATCTAACTCACCCTCTCAGACCTGGTGCAAAGCGCCTCCTTTGTGAGATCCAGCCCCCCCCCAGCCCCCCCCCCCC